GAATCTCTTGCATATATTGATAGTTTGCTCAGCTTAACAGATACTTGCCAGGCTGTATTTGCAAAGGGAGGTGTAAGCCCCTACAGTCCAAAGACAACTGGAAAGCTTTTCCCATTTCCTTCCTCCTTGCAGAGAAATATTTGAGGTCCATTTGGGAGAGTCAAAATGGCTTCAGGATTGCTCTCCTGTACTGTTTCAGACACTATACTTATGCACGTGTGTTTGCCTTGTACATTTATGAACATTTATTCTCTCTATATATAAGACCTTAGAATTCCTATAACACAACTGAAATCTGTTTGAGTTGGTGGATGCCTAGGAAATAAACACCAGCCAAGACTGTAATTGGGAAGGGCTCCATCCTCAGGGGAGGCTGTTTGCTGAGTGTCTGCAAGAGGTGCCATTCTGTCCTTGCTTCCACTTTGAATTTGAAAACAAACACCACACACCTTGGCCCTTGAGTGTTTGCACTGCCTCAAAACCAGCAGCCAGTTTCTGAAGTTCCTAGACAATCCTCCTCCTCCCTGGCTCTGTGTTGCTTATGTTTCCTCTGTGCTGATGGAGAAGTGCTCTGCACATGTTCAGAAGGCCTATTATTTCCCTAGGCTGCGCAGGCAAGCCTGCTCTGGTTCCTAGGTCCTAGCAGCATATTTGTTCGTATCTATAATGTAAGCCGTTTACTATTTTTTGAGGAGTTCTCTCTCTCTCTCTCCCCCACCCACAAATCAGCGTGGGAGAAGACGGTCCCAGCCCCACTGCTCAGAGCTGGAATTGTCATCAGGGAGCTTGCAATTAAGCAGAGTATAAATAGCCCCAACTCGAGTGGGCAGCGGTGTGGCTTTAGTCATGGAGAGGAGTGACATTTCTAAGTGAAATAGCTGTTTAGCGCTCCCTTTCCCCCTCTCTCTCCCCCCCCCCCCAATTCCCAGTCGCATGAGTCATGACAAAACCCAGGCAGATAACAGGTGGGAGAAAGGAACCCTCACCCCTCAGTGTTGAGCCTCTGCTGTGTCTCTGTCGTGCGGTGTTTAACTGTTACAGGATTCTTTCCTAAGGGCAGCACCCGGCCCTACATCCGTCCATCCCAAAAGAAGCTAAGCTTTGGACTACTTCCTTAAAATGCAACCTCTGTTCCTCAGAGTTGTATGGCCAGATCAAGCCTCTGTGTGAATGCCCAATGGCTAAGATGTGGGTTTTGAAAGTGGAAGCAAAGGCAGAACAGTACCTCTTGCAGAGACACAGCAGGCAACCTCCCCTGAGGGTGGATGAGTCCTTCAGGGTCAGAGGAGAGTGTGTGTGACAAACAGACGAACAGAGACACAAACAAAGTCATTGGCAAGTGTTGTTTTGCAGTGATGGGGAGGTCCTCTTCCCAATTACCTCTTCTCCCTGTAGAATCTGGAGGTCTGTTCCAATCTGGTTTTAGTTTATTGTTTATTTTATGCTTTGAATTATTTAAAGAGTCATTTTAATGGGGTGGTTGTTTTTTTTTTACTGGTAATTGTGTTGTTTTATTCTCTTAGCAAACTGCATTGAGGTTTCTTTGTTTACCATCAAGCAGTTGTATGAATTTTGTGAAATAATTTCTAAAATACCAGTGGATTGGAGGAGGGGTGAGCAGGTGAATCTCACAAAACTGAGGCCAGCTCCTTCCAGATCTACAGGAACCCACAGTATCTTTTAGAGCAGGTGACCAGGGATGATGGGGCTGTAGTTCAGCAACAAATGCAAGTTTGAGATTAGCCACCCCTGGGACCAGCTTTTCTAAGGCAATTCATCATCGTCATCATGAGAGCCAGTGTAGTATATAATGGTGAGAATGTCAGACTAGGACCTGGGAGAGACCAGGGCTCAAATCCCCACTGGGCCATGAAGCTCGTTGGATAACCTTGGGCCAGTCGCTGCCTCTCAGCCTAACCCACCTCATAGGGCTGTTGTAGGGATTAAATGAGGGGGAGATCCATGTCAGCCATCTTCAGCTGCTTGGAGGAAAAGGTGGGAAATAAATGCGATAAATAATCATTTCTTGGGATGCCACCTTTTCTTGGTAAACAACGTTCCAATGCTGTTCACAGCCGCCTTCTTTTTATGTTTAAAGTTTGGGGATGGATAATGCTGCATGCCTCCACTTCAATAAGATAAGAAGAGTCTTGCTGGATCAGGCCAATGGCCCATCTAGTCCAGCATCCTGTTCTCACAGAGCCTACCAGATGCCTATGGGAACCCCACAAACAGGATCCAAGCACAGAAGCACTCTCCTCTCCTGTGGTTTCTAGCAGCTGGTATTCAGAAGCATTACAGCCTCCAAAAGTGGCGTGCATGACCATCATGGCTAGCAGCCATCAGTAGCTCTCTCTCTGGCGTGAATTTGTCTCATCCTGTTTTAAAGCTATCCAGTTTTGTGGCCATCCCTGCATCCTGTGGGAGTGAGTTCCATTGTCTGACCCTTAAACTATGTGAAGGGCTTCCTTTTATCTGTCCTGAATCTCCCAACCCTCATTTTCATTGGATGCTCATGAGTTCTAGAGTTAGGGAAAGGTGAAAAGCTTCTCTTTATCTGCTTTTTCCATGCCATGAACCATTCTATAAACTTCCATCATGTTGCCTCTTACTCGCTTTTTTGTCCTAAAAAAGAAGTACCACCAAATTCTGTAACCTTTCCTCATACAGGAGTTGCTCTGTTACCCTGGTTATTTTGGTTCATTATTATTATTATTATTATTATTGTTATAGGAAAAAGGAAGTGTGTCTTTGGTACCTGGAATATGGTGTTGAGGTGACTTGAGCAGGGGTCCCACATGGGATTTCGAAGCCACACGTCTGCTGCGTCAGCCAAAAATATTTCGGCAGGAAGCTCATCTGGGCTGGGCCCCTTTCCCCCTTTTTCTGTATTTTTCCTTGAGAGTGCCTGTCCCAGGCAGATGGCCTCACGGCCAGCTTCTTCAAGAGCGCAGCCTCTGCCCTGCGCCTCCCTCGGCGGAACGCCAGTCTAGCAACACGGCCGCATGTCTCCAGCAGCTCAGCGAGGCTCAGCGCTGGCTTTTCACTTCCAATTAAACATCAAGATGCATTCTGAAGGATGAGTCAGGGCTGCCCTTCAGGAAAAGGGGGAAGTTTCTGTAACATGAAAGAAATGCAAAAGGCAAAAGCAGGGCTGACAGGGCAAAACATTCCCCCTTTCCCTGCCAAAAAAGAGGATGCCTCCCTTGTGTAACTTTTGAGATGGTGAGGCGTAACACTCTCTGGACCAGAACACCTCGTCCGAATTAAGCAGGTAGGTCCAAGGATGGCTACTCATTCCCGAAATCTGTTTTCCGGCCTTGATTCTGGCCAGATTCTGACCTCCTCCTAGCTATGCATCCATATGTGGTCAGCAAACTGCAAGCGACCACATGGGAAGCAAGTGGAAAGCCAAATCTTACACCCCTCCTTTGCAAGGGGCAGGGCTCCTGCATCTCTCAGTTTTGCTTCCTTGAAGAACCACAGCTCAGCACTAAGCATCTACCTAATGGCTTCCTGGTAGGGCCAGGAGAGACTCCCTGCCTGAAACCCTGGACAGCAGCTGCCAGTGAGTGTAGGCAGTACTAAGCTAGACGGGCCAATGGGTCTGACTTGGTAAAAGGCACTTTCCTATGTGTTGGCAGCTGATGTGCACTGCAGAGTGCCTTTCTGGGAATTCTGCTCAGAGAGCCTCCAGCTTCTGACTAGGCTTGGTGAAGTGTTCAGGTGGGAAGAGTGGCTTCCTCTAAGGTCCACTTGGCCATCTCTTGAGTTTGATGCTGGTGGGAGAGGCTGATGGACTGCCGGATGTTGGTTCAGTCTTGGAAGGGTTCTTTGGCACAATTAGGAAGTCAGGGGAGTGAATGTTTTGCAAGCCCAACTGCCTGGCCAGCCTTTGAGATTTTCCCTGAGGTTCCTGTTCGCATCTGAGATGGAGCCTTTTTTGGTGGCTTCCCCCATCTCCTTGCCCTCTCTCCACATTGAGGTGTACCCTGCCTCAGGCTTGACACTTTGTAGTGTGACGTGAACAAAGTGATCCCCTTTCAGACAGTGTCTAATAATACTTAATGGCTTTCTTTGGGAGAAGCTTTTGAAAAGGGTGAGTTTGGGGGTTCTGGTAGTGCTGTTCCGTTTCAGCTGTTTTGACTGGCTTGGATTTGTACAAGGTTTATGTCGCCAACATTGAGTTTGCGCTTATGGAGGCAGTGAGCCAGCAGGGGTGGGCAATACCCACCCAAGAGGCATTCTTTCTTAGCAGCTCAGATGTCTTCAGAGTAGGCTTCCTCCAGGGGTGAGGGCTGCAGTGGGCCTGGAATCTCACCCCCCACCACCCTTCCCAACCACACTGCCTTCTCAAGACACGTGCTAAGGGGGCGTCACAAAGGATAGGGGGTTTTCATCATTTTACATCCAGTTCTGCTGGCCAACGGTCTCGATGAAGCCTCACTGCTGTGGGCCGGGGAAAGCACTCTGCATATGCTCAGAGGCACACGCACGCCTCGCTCGCAAACAAGGAGGCCCGAGCAGTGCAAAGCGATATACTCTGCGTATGCTCAGAGGCGCTCACGTACCTCGCCTGCTCCTGAGACCCGAGTTCATCTGAGCAATGCAAAGTGGGGACGTGCGCCTCCTCCTCGCCCGTGGGATGATTCATGGGGGCTGCAGAGTGAGCCTCCTGCGCCTCCCGGTGCGCCATCGCCATCTTCGGCCAGGACTACCGGTGGGAGCGGGGGGGGGCCGGGAAAACAGACCGGCTCGGAAGTGCGCCCCCTCCCAGGCTAAAAGAGAGAACGGAGAGGGGAGGGGAAAGGAGCCATCCCTGGGGTGGAGACACAAACGCATCCCCCCTCCCCGCGTGTCCAAAGCGCCTCGGCCAGAAGGCCCCCTCTCCACCCCCAGCAACGCCTCCCCCGGGCCCGATCCTGGACGAGCGCGGAGCGGAGGGGCGGCGAGAGGAGTCTAAGCATGCGCTTGCACGCCCCACCCCCGCCCAGCCCGGGCAGGCGGCGAAGGCGGCGGCGGCGGCGGCGAAGAGCGCGAGCGGCAGGCGGCGGCAGAAGGAGCGGCAGCAGCGAAGCGCCCGCTTGCAGCCTGGAGCTCTCGCAGGTAAGCTGCCCCGCGTGGACGCTGGCGCGCCAAGATGCTAGGGGGATATGGATTCCGGTGGAGGGGGGGTTCCTTCAAACCCCCCACCTCGTGGTGTAGGGACGACACCCCCTTCCTCCCTGCAGGGAACACTCCCTTCCCCCTCGCCTTCCCCGGGGCGCGCAAGGCAGCGCGCTCTTTGGGGGCCGCGGAGGGTGGGGTCTCTCCCCTTTGCAGCCGAAGACGGTGGGGGGAGCGACCTCCTTTTGAGCCCAGCCATCTAAGCTGCAAGGAATGCGACTCCCCCTCCCTCTCCCCCTCCTCTCCCAAACCACCGCAAGTTTCTTTCTTCTCCGTCTAGATTTTACAAGGGGTGGGGTGGCGAGGATGAGCAGGCGCGCAAAGGACTCCTCGGCTTTACCGCTAGTTCTCAAGACGAAGCCTTTCTCTTTTGGTTCACCCGTGGGAGGCTGGGCTAGATGGGCCTTTGCACGATCCAGCTGCTTCAGGGCTGGTCTTTAGGGTCTTCCCTTCATCCCTCCTCCCACTCTGTGAACCAGGCCTGCCACAGAGTCCATGCTCCTCTCACCTGCAGTACTCAATGTAAGATGAGATGATGGCTTTTGTTTGTTTGCAAACGGGTCGATTTGGGCTGATTTCTGGCATTGGTCCTGATTCTGTAATCCTATTGCATTTTGTTGTAACTCTTCCGCCTTTGACTGAGGCTGCAAAATTGGCATCATCTGCCCCATTTCCCTCCAGCCAGTTCCTCAGCTGACACTGGCTTAGGAAAGGAAGGGTAAAGTAAAGCCAGGGAGGGGGCAACTGTGGGGGAGGGAGGGACACTTAATTGCCCTGATCCTTTGTTAAGACATTTTGCAAAGATGTCTCTGTTAGCATTGCGAGGAATTTCTGGAATTTGCTGGGGGCACCTGCTGTCAATGTCTGAAAAGTCGCTGAAGCAGCCATAAACTCTTGTATTTGCTCCTCCAAGAGGATGTTTTGTGTTCACCCAGCGAATGAGGGCTGTGTCATTTGATTGATGAATCAGTTAGTTTAATTAAGAGGGTCCCCAAACTGTGATCCCATATCTGAGAAGCAGCAAGCGCTTGTTCTTAGGACCTGGTTGTCCATTCAGAAGATGAGTGGGAAGGGCCAGCATTGACAGAGGGAAGAGGCGGCACTTGAGAGGAGTGGAGAGGATTAGCAGCAAAGTCAATGGGAGGCTAGAATTAAGACGTTTAATCTTGATTCAATTAATAATCATACAGCATCTAGTGCAGCTCATTACAATTGCTACAACAGGCATAAAAACCATTAAGGCCCTCAGCAATTTTCAAGTGGACTGTTGAGTGGGGGGGAGTTTGGGAACCACTTGTCTAATAGATTGCAAGGTTCTGATTAACTTAAAAAAAAAAAGCACCAGATGCTCATGCGTAACTGCATAATTCAAGTACTTAGAGACTTTAGATGGTAGAGGCCACCTTAGCAATGCAAGAGGAACCCCCCCCCCAGCTTGGTCAGGCCAGAAGCCCATCTAGTCTAGCATCCTGTTCTCACAGTAGCCAACCAAATGCCCCACTGGGAAGTCCACAAACTGGACATGAGTGCAACGCTTGCTCTCCCTGCTTACAATACCCAGCCGCTGCTATTCAGAGATGTAGTGCCTCCTGGATAACTCAGTTGGTTAGAGTGTGGTGTTGATAACACCAAGATTGCAGGTTCGATCCCCATATGGGACGGCTGCATCTTCCTGCATTGCAGGGGGTTGGATTTGATGATCCCATTCGTACCATCCTGTGACAGCAGAGGCAAGCATAGCCATTGCAGCCAATAGCCTCCTCCTCTATTTATTTGTCGGGTCCTCTTCTAAAGCCATCCAAGTTGGTGGCTATCTCTACACCTTGTCAGAGTGGATTTCTTAAGAGCATAAGACAAACCTTGATGATGGCTCAGACCAGCGGCCTGTCTTATCCAACCAGGGTACCAAATTATATTATTATTATAACCAGAAGCCTTGCAGTCAAGACCTGAGCTCAGTAGCACTCTCCTCACTCGTGCTTCTGGGCAACTGGTGCTCAGAGATGGACTGCCTCTGAACATGAAGGTTCCATATGGCCACCATGGATGATGGGAACAGAAGAAGAAGCCCCATAGTCAGCAGGCCCATCTAGTTCAGTGTTGTCTACACTGACTGGCAGGAGCAGTGTAGGTTCTACCAACCCTCCCTGGAGATTGAACCAGGGACGTTCTGCATGCACAGCAGATGCTCTGCAACTGACCTTGGTGCTTTGTCTAATAGCCATCAGCAGACCCCTCTGTCATGGAAGAGTAGAACTTCCATTGAAGAGTAGAAGAGAAGGAAATGCTCTTACTCATAAACAGAAAGATCCATGGGTTAAAGCACATGCAATTCACTGGCTAGGATTTCATCTGGATGTTGAAGTCGATGGAATTTCAGGTGTTCTCTGTAGTCCATATGATGCATTAATTGGTTTCATTTCCTTCATATACCACCCTGACCCTAAAGTCCAGCACACAATACTAAAAATGCAATCGATAAGTAGAACACCTACAAACTGCATTTTTCCTTTAAAAAACAATACAACAAGGCTACATAGTGAAAGAAATGTTGAATCCCAGGTCAATAAAAGTGTGGGGGACAGCCACATGTCTCAGGGGAAGGAATTTGACATATTAATATTATTATTAATCATAATAATAATAATTTGGTACCCTGCCCATCTGACTGGGCTGCCTCAGTCACTCTGGGTATGGTTGTTGGGAGACGGACGGCTGAAATCTCTTTAAAATTTGACACTGTGTGATGGAAGTGCATTTGCACCAGGCGTGTTGTTTAGGGAGGGGGCAGCGCACCCCTCCCAGGTTTCATACTGATAACCACTGAGTCACGACTGCCATACCAAATTAAACGGGCCTGGATCCAAAGGACTTGGATCCAAAAGCACACATCCAATTGCTTCAGGAAAAAGGACAACGCTCTCCCATGTCTTGATAGCCTATGTAAAAAGCAGCCTGCGTCTTTCTTGGTCACGCTCTAGTGTGACCAAGTAAACGGCTTCCGGGATGGTGCTGTTCAGAGAGGAGCCCCTTTTAAGATTCCAGGCTGCCTGGTGAGCATGGATGTGCACTCGCTCCAGAGTCAACATGGGTGGCTGTAAGAAGTGGGTGTCCCCAATGAGTGTGTTCAGCTCCACCCCCAGGGATGCACCCCTTAATTTTCTCCCCTGGCACCTTGGGAGGACAGTAAGGTGCTGTGCTCAGGGACAGCACAGTGACTTTTCCAGCTGCCAATACAGACCCTGCAGGCAGTCCCACCCCACAGGGTTCTAGCAATGCGCAAACCCGCCCTCACCCACCCCGGCAGGCACTTTGGTTCTGAATGGAAAGGAGAAAATAGCCACAGCGATTGCTCTCTTCCAACCCCAACAGCCATTTAATCCCTCAAAAAGAAGGCGGTTGAAGTTGACTTGCTGACACACCCCCACACACCCGGGGACCCTGGTTTGCTTTGGCATTCGCTGTTTGGGCTTTGTTTGCAATTCTCCCACAGCAGAGGATTCCCCCGGCACCTTTCAAAAGAACTGCGGATAAACTTCCTGCCGCGAATTGCTTTGAAGGGCTTGCGTTAGATGAACCTTCGGGTCCCTTCTAACGCCACAGTCCTATGAATGTGGCCTCCTTGCTTCTCACTTCCTGCCAACGGTTCATTTCGGAGTGCCTGGGGCAGACCGGGGCAGTGCATCTAACCTGGCATCATCAACCAGGAGGGGTGAGCAGGTCTCCCTCCTTCCCTCCCTCCCCAAATCTCCTGGAATCTGACTTCCTTTCCCAGGAAGGGTCAGGTAAAGGTAAAGGGTCCAGTCGCGGATGACTCTGGGGTTGCAGCACTCATCTTGCTTTACTGGCCGAGGGAGCTGGCGTACAGCTTCCAGGTCATGTGGCAGATGACTAAGCCGCTTCTGGTGAACCAGAGCAGCGCACGGAAACGCCGTTTACCTTCCCTCCAGAAGGTACTTGCACTTTTGTGCTTTCGAACTGCTAGGTTGGCAGGAGCTGGGACAGAGCAACGGGAGCTCACCCCGTCACGGGGATTCGAACCGCCGACCTTCTGATCAGCAAGTCCTAGGCTCTGTGGTTTAACCCACAGCGCCACCCGTGTCCCTAGGAAGGGTCAGAGCTACTGTTAAATCGTGCCATGCAGGGGGTTGCACTCGATGGCCCTTGGGTCCCTTCCAACTCTACAATTCTATGGTTCTGTGCTGGTTGATCATCTTAAAGCCACAGTGTGGTCGTAGGACCATAGGAAGCTGCCTTATGCTGAGTCAGAGCATTGGTCCATTGAGCTCAGTATTGTCTACCCTGACTGGCAGCAGTGGCTTTCCAGGGTTTCAGGTAGGGGATATTTCTTTGCCCAACCTGGAGATGCCAGGGATTGAACCTTCTGCATGCAAAGCAGATGTTCTGCCACTGAGCTAAAGCCTCTCCCCTAAAAATAAAGTAAGGTCTTCATCCTCATGGTTTTGAATACTGTGCTGAATTAAATAGGATTGCTGGTCTATCCAGCTCAGTTCAGACTCTCCAGAGCAGGGGTCAGCAAACTTTGTCAGCATGGGGCCAGTCCACTGTCCCGCAGACCTTGTGGTGGGCCGGACTATATTTTGGAAAAAAATATGAATGAATTCCTATGCCCCACAAATAACCCAGCAATGCATTCTAAATAAAAGCACACATTCTATTCTGATTCCTGGATCGTCTGCAGGCCGGATTTAGAAGGCGATTGGGCCGAATCCATCCCCCAGGCCTTAGTTTGCCTACCCATGCTCCAGAGTTTTTCCCAGCCCTGCCTTGAGATGCCATTGAGGACTGAACCCAGGACCTTCTGCATTCAAGACAGATGCTCTACTAATGAGCTTTGGCCCTTCCCCAAAAGCACTGCCCCTGTCCTGTTTTGAGCATTGATTTGTGCACCTATTTTTTTTTTAATTTATTTATTTATT